ATATTCAAAATTTCCAGCAATAAAATACTTTAGTTGTAAATTAGACAATATGCAGATAATTAAATAAATTATTTATTTGAAATTATAACGTAGATATTATTACATGGGTTAGTGAATAGGTTTTATTGATATGTAATTAACATCAAATGCACTTTTAATAAATACTGGTCAAAATTTAATGGCAATTCGATAAATCAACTTCAAGTTAAATGTTTGATCCCATTGTTTTAATGAGTATAGAAAACCAGTAATATATAAGTAATAAGAGATAATATTTTCTAAAATTAATCATTTTTTAGTACATCCTGAAACAATTGTAACATTTCTTCTTCTTGTTCTTCTTTCTTGTTCTCTACTGCTGAATCTTTCTTATCATTCTCAAGTTCAATAGATTCTTCAAGATGAATATTTGATTTTAATTTTTTAGTTGAAGATGGTGCAACATCATCATCTAAAATATTCTCTTCAGGATGGAAAACCGTTGCTTTATTTTTTCGACTTGTTAATCGTGTCATTTCTTCATCTACAATAGTTTCTTTAGTTTGGGAAGTTGCTTCTTTACTTTCGGTATCTAAAGATGGTGTTATATTATCATCTAAAATACTTTCTTTAGATTGAGAAATTGATGCTTCATCATTTCTGTCTGATGATGGTGTATCCCCATCTAAAATACTCTCTTCAGGATGGGAATCTGTTGATTTACTTTTTTCATTTGATGGTGTTTTATCTTCATCTAATGTATTCTCCTCAATATCAGAAATGGTTGCTCCATTCTTTTTATTTGATAATTCTGAGTTTTCAACAACTACATTTTCGGTATCAAATGAAACAACAATTTCTTCCCTTTGATTAGGTTCTGCTATTTCATCTTCAGAAACAAATTCCTTTTGTATCGTTCTAAAAAAGATAATGTCTTGGATCTTAAACTTGTTTTGGACAGATTATGACACTTTTAATATCGATATTTTAATAGTAAATATGTATAACTTACTCTACTTGAGTCAACTGTATAGATGGTGCATGGGGATGTATGATCTTTTCTAGTTCTGCTAACGCTATTTTTGCTTCTTGAATAATGCATAAGTTAGCATCGCATAGAGCCATTTCAAATATTTCTAAAGAGTACTGTGTTGGCAAAGGCACTAAACAATGAGGACTCATTTGTAAAGCTCTCAGAAGTCTCAGTAATTGCAAACGACAATCGGGATTATCTTTATAAAACTTTTGCTCTGCAGAACTCAGGTAACAATCATATAGAAGAGGTATTATTATATTTTGTATAGTCTGTAAATGTTAGCTTATGTTAAACATTGAATTGAAAAGAAAAACGTAAAAACGAAATGCTTACTTTAAAAAATGTTTGCTTTAAACAATTACCACCATTCAGAAATATGTGTTGTGATGCTATAAGAGAACTTTTACACGTATCTATATCTAAATAATGTTCTCTGCTAGAATCCAATCCATTAGTCAGATAAGCACCTTTTTCATATTGACTATCTCGAAGTCGTTTTAACGCTCGTTTCGATAAGTTATGAGTTTTCTGAAGCTAGAACAAAAATTTCATGTTAGTTATATTACCATTTTATTATTTAATTTTTCGATTTATTAAACTAAAACAGATTTCAGCATAGTTCAAACTTACAGTTAACAGAACACAATCCCTTTCCGGTACAATATCTTTTAATATAGACTGAAGATATTCATCTGCAATTGTTTCTACCCCTGATAGGGAATTCGTGTTCAGTAGCCAAGATGTAAGACATTTGTAAATGGATATTCTAACATTTTTGAATGGTTTGTCACCACTAAGAGTTATTTTATTCTTTAAGACTGGCTCAGTCCATTGCAATGATTGAAGAAACAGTTGTAATATGGTTGATCCAAATGGTATTAACTGCTCCTTAAATCTAAGCATTTTAAATTAATAAATTTTGTTCTAAATATTATTTACATTCTGTGTTTTATACGTATATATTCATACCCATTTATTAATGCATCCAGTACATTAAATAATGCAATATGCAATTGTGGTAAAATAAGGTATAACATTTGTCCTTTGATAGAGTCCTGATTTTTTAAATTTGATGGTTGTATTGCTAATCCTCTGCATAAAACTTTTAAGATATCAGTAGGCAATACTGAATTTTTTTTATCAAATCCACTGTAAATTGTAAATTATTTTAAGGTTAACATCGTACCAAAATATGTAAACTTATATTATTCACTTACCGTAACATACAAGACAAATAAGAGCAGAGATTTAAAAATCTTTGTTTTTGTTTGAAATAAAATTGGATAATATTCTTTTCAGATATATCTGGTAAATCCAGTTTATCCCAAATGCTTACGTTTTCTAATTCTATCAAACTAG